CACTCATTTCCTTGCTGTCATCTGTGTAGGACCCATCTTGTTTAAGTAGGTGCCCAATACTGGACGTTGTTCTCGACTTTGATTTGGCATAGGAGAAGAAATACTTTGGGTTTCTTTCGATTTCATTTATGGCTTTTAGTTCTTCCCACGATTCCTGACTCCTATAAGATTCACTTAGCTTAAGTTCGATGTTTGCTATTTCTCTGACAAGTGTCTCCCTACGCATTTCAGATATATTGACCTCTTTTAGCCGCTCTGTTATTCTTTTCCGTCGCCTGTAAAGGGAGCGCCTGTCTCTTTCTATTTTACATCTACTCCTCCTTTTTCTTAGAGGAATAAGCCTTGTGCATACATCGAGTGCCACCAAGTTAATCTGTTCTAGGCATAAGTTGGGGTCTGTGTTGCTTAGTATATCTTCCCAGCTTATATCGGTTAGGACTTGGTTTACTTGGTCCCACTTTATGTTTTTGTTATTGAAGTTGAATTTGGTGAATGCTCCCTCTTGACTAATCTCATTATGTCGGTCTGGGGCTCCGTGCATACATGTCTGAACCTCAATTATGTTGTGATCTGAGTATATTGTTTTTGATATGGTGACATTTCTTATCAGATCATCATTGTTAGTGAAGATGAGGTCTAGTGTATTCTCCAGTCTAGTAGGCTCTATTATTTGCTGGTTTAAATTGAATTTTGTGCAGAGATTTAAAAGCTCGTGTGAGTGTGAGTTTTCATCAGAGCTGCCTCCTGGTGTTATTACTGCAACAATATTATTTGCTATATTCCTCCATTTTAGGTGCCTTAAGTTGAAATCCCCCAGGAGCAAGATATTGGGTGCAGGAGCTGGAAGATTTTTCCAGACAGTGGTCAATTTTTAACAGCTGTTCCTGGAATTGCTGGGATGTTGCATCTGGAGGCTTGTAGACTACCACAATGACTAGGTTTTGGTTCTCGATCTTTACTGCTAAAACTTCCACTACATCATTTGAGGCATTAAGCAGTTCTGTGCAAACAAGTGACTCTGCAATGTACAGGCCAACCCCCCCCTTTTGCCTGTTCACTCTGTCACATCTGTATAGGTTGTAACCTGGGTTCCATATTTCGTTGTCCAAGTGATCCTTTATGTGGGTCTCAGTGAAAGCCGCGAACATTGCCTTTGCCTCTGCAAGCAGTCCACGGATGAAAGGTATTTTGTTGTTTGTTGCTGGCTTTAGACCCTGTATATTTGCAAAGAAGAATGTCATCGGACTGGTGGTATTGTTGGTACTGGGGGGGGGATTTTTTTTCCGGCATTAGTATCTGTATCTGTTGGTTTGGAGTGGAGGCCATCGACTGTGTCTCTCTTTTGACCAATGAGATGTTTTAATCTATTGTTCATCCATTTGGAATCATTTTTGTTAGATCTAATTTCCCTAATCAGAACAAAAGTTGTCTGGGCAGCTAGAACTATGCTCTGAAAAACGTCATATTGGCAACCAAGATCACCTACCTGACCCATAGTCAGGACATGCCAATTTAGCCCACCCAGGTAATTTTTCAGTCCCATGAAGTCGGCCAAGCGAAAATCTGGGACAGAGATTTGATTGCAGTTATCTGGCTGATTCCATGTTATATTGAAACTAAGTGATTTGTGATCACTTTCCCCAAGCTCATCATTAACCTCAAGATTATTAATTAGTGAATCTTTGTTGGCAAGAACCAAATCAAGAAGATTGTTTCCTCTAGTTGGTTCTGTCACAACCTGTTCTAAAAAGCAATCCTGAACTGTATCAAGAAAGTCACTAGATTTCCTGTCATATTGTTCCAATCAATTTGTCTAAAGTTAAAATCTCACATTTTCACATTTTCATATCTAGATGCCTTATGAATTTCATCCCATAACAGCTTACTGCACTCCCTATCAAGGTTTGGGGGCCTATAAATAACACACAAAATTAATTTGTCACGTCCCTCGAGAAACTGTAGCCAAACAGATTCTGTGTTCGATGTTTCTAATCTTATATCATGTCTAAGACAACAATTTAAATTTTCTCTGACATACATCGCCACTCCACCACCCTTCCTGTTGACCCTATCGGTGTGGAATAGTTTATAACCTTGTATGTTGCATTCAGAAGACATTTCTCTATTTTTTAGGTTGAACCAGGTCTCTGTTAAACCAATAATATCTATATTACCTACACTTGCAAGTAATCTTAGCTCATCTATCTTATTTCTTAGACTTCTACTATTTGTACAGTAAACGTTAAGGGAGCTAGTCACTCATTGTTCTCTACTATCTCTCTTTGTTTGTTGATCAATTGATTTTCCATTACTAGCAACTTTATTTTGAACATTGTCTTTTAAACATATCCTTGAGGTATCCCGGTAATAACTGCTGTTTTTAACCCTATTGCTGCAGCCTGATTGTTTCCCACAAACACCAATACCTCTATAATCTATCAGTTTAAATTCCTAGACAAATCATCAATTACCCTCTCAATCGAATTGGCTAATGCAACCACTCCATCCCCAGAGAGATGAACCCCATCCCTTGCATACATATCATGTTTGCCAAAGAACAGGTCCCAGTTATCAATGAATGGGATTGCAAGTTCCTTGCAGCACCTGTCTAGCCAGCAATTTATACCAATTGCCCTAGACATCCATTCATTGCCCACTCCCTTTCTAGGCAAGATGCAACATATGACTGGGATCCCTCCCTTAGACCTAACTACTTCTATGGCTGACCTGTACTTATCCAGCAGCTCCTCTCTCCCTGCCCTTCCAATGTCATTACCCCCAGCACTAAGACAGATAATGGGCTTGTTCCCATTACATGCCATAATATTATCCAACCTGCTGACTATGTCACCAACACCAGCTCCAGGAAGGCACACTCTCTGTCTGACATTTCTGTCTTTGTTACAAAATGCACGGTCCATATATCTTACTTGAGAATCATCTACTATTAAAATATTCTCACCTTGATTAGCAAGGAAATCACTGGCACCTTCAACCTCACTAACCACTAAAGAAATAAAAAGTTAATATATGAGAGGTTTTTACAAAGTAGAAGTGATGGGAGGTGGGAGGAGTATATGGAGAGAAAAAGAGGTTAAGAGAGTGGTGAAGCAATGTAAAAGAGAGCATATGAAAGAGTGAGAGATATAATCAACAAATTTTGTTAAAAATAAGAAAATGTTTTGGAGATTAATAAGCTGAGGAAACCTAGGGAACGAGTGGAATTGATAGTTAAAAATAGGAGAGGAGATTTATTAAATGGAGAGTTAGATGTATCAGGAAGATACATCTAAGATACGAACTAAGCCAGGAAGCTTGAAAAGCGGCTGCAACTGGCTTGCAGGCTGGAGTACACAGGGTGGAGGTGGCAGAGACGGTCACCTATGACCTGCCGGCACCCCCACAAACAATCTTCTAACATTGGAAATACCCGTAAATCCACGCTCACAATGCTGCCACCAATTTGTCATGTGGGGGTTCGATAACGTGGATTGGGTAATAACACTCACGTTGGATATTCTAGTATATTGGGCGGAATATAGGGGGAGCACCAAGCTTTGACCTGCCGCCTGTCTACTACCTCTACTTGAACTGGCTTGCTGAGTGCCTCGGAGGGTAGCAGCATTCAAAACATACTAGGTCAGCTGAACAGTAAATAACAAGTGACTCACACACAGTTGGTGGTGAGTCATACAACTGGTAACTGGTTACTAGCAACTGGTTACGAGGAACTGATACTACTTAGACCACCCCACACACACACCACACACACACACAATTAACAACACACACACACACACACACACACACACACCATATACACACACACCACACAACACACACACACACACACACATACACACACACACACACACACACACACACACACATATACACACACACACACACACACACACAAAACACACACACACATATACAACACACACACACACACACCACATAAAACCACACACACAACACACACCACACACACACAACACACACACCACACACACACACCACACACACATATACACACCACACACACACACACAACACACATAACACACACACACACACACACACACACACACACACACACACACATACACACACACACACACACACACACACACACACACACACACACACAACAAAGTTTGCGACAAGGTTTGTTCCAGAGCTAAGGGAATGTCCTATGAAGAAAGGTTAAGGGAAATCGGTGTGACGACACTGGAGGACAGGAGGGTCAGGGGAGACATAACGACATACCAAATACTGCATGGAATAGACAAGGTGGACAGAGACAGGATGTTCCAGAGATGGGACACAGAAACAAGGGGTCACAATTGGAAGCTGAAGACTCAGATAAGTCAAAGGGATGTTAGGAAGTATTTCTTCAGCCACAGAGTTGTTAGGAGGTGGCATAGTCTGGCAAGTGATGTAGTGGAGGCATGAACCATGCATAGTTTTAAGACGAGGTATGATGAAGCTCATGGAGCAGGGAGGGAGGATCCAGTAGCGGTCGGTGAAGAGGCCGGGCCAGGAGTTGAGTATCGACCCCTGCAACCACAATTAGGTGAGTACAATTAGATGAGTACATACGTAGAAAGCTCCTGGTTATATGCAGAGAATTTTGGGGAGTCATATTATTTATTAACTACTACTAAACAGTAATTTAACTATGTTAGGTTATTAAAATAAGTAGTTTGCATTCTTTGACAATGATTTCAACAATGTAGTTGTTGATTTGTGCCATTTTCGGATTTTATATAATAATCTGGCAAACCATCTGTAAGTAGTGATTACTTGGTTATTGTAAATATTGAAATATATTGGTAAGAGCGAGAACAAGACATTGAACGAGTTGGTGTTGATAAACTGACCTCACCTGTAGGATGCTCCGGGGGCCAACGCCCCTCTTAACATAACTTATTTATGCTGAATTTAGGTATAAAATGAACCGTAATTTGACATGTGTGTTTTTTGTCATTCCACAGGAGTGAAATAAAGAGGGTTGAGAGAGGCAGTATTGTCCAGTGTTGGAAGAAGCAGTGAGTGTCGATGGTATCAGAGAGTTGGAACAAGTTCTGACATCAAAGTGGGCAATATGTGAGGAAAGTACATGTTGCTTATAAGGTGCCTGAGTATGATGTTATGGAGACTGTAATGCCGTGGGTGGCATCTTGGCCAGCAGGCTGGCACACGCTACTGCCTTTCACAACAACATGAGCATCTGTACAGCGTCATGGCACCGACGACCAGCGCAGGGTCCAGGCGTACGCCCGCCTCCCCTCGCCAGGTGGCGTCGTCCGTGGCGTCGTCCGTGGTGGCGTCTGTGCAGTACGTGACGGCGTCAGTGAGGGTGCTGCTGGTGGGATGCTTCCAGTGTAGTTCAATCAAGCCTGCGTGCTGGAGGCGACAACGACAACAAGACGGAGCCTGGTTCGACTCTGACAAGGTTGGTAAACCTACCAAACTCTACTGAATGTCACAATACCATAACTGAACCAGTCACAACTAACTCACAATACCATAACTGAACCAGTCGCACCTGTCCCACAATACCATTACTGAACCAGTCACAACTATCCCACAACACCATGACTGAACCAGTCACAACTAATATACAATACCATGATTGAACCAGTCACAACTAACCCACAATACCATGACTGAACCAGTCACAACTAACCCACAATACCATGACTGAACCAGTCACAACTAACCCACAATACCATGACTGAACCAGTCACAACTAATATACAATACCATGATTGAACCAGTCTCAACTAACCCACAATACCATGACTGAACCAGTCACAACTAACCCACAATACCATGACTGAACCAGTCACAACTAACCCACAATACCATGACTGAACCAGTCACAACTAACCCACAATACCATGACTGAACCAGTCACAACTAACCCACAATACCATGACTGAACCAGTCACAACTAACCCACAATACCATGACTGAACCAGTCACAACTAACCCACAATACCATGACTGAACCAGTCACAACTAACCCACAATACCATGACTGAACCAGTCACAACTAATATACAATACCATGACTGAACCAGTCACAACTAATATACAATACCATGACTGAACCAGTCACAACTAACCCACAATACCATGACTGAACCAGTCACAACTAACCCACAATACCATGATTGAACCAGTCACAACTAACCCACAATACCATGACTGAACCAGTCACAACTAACCCACTATACCATGACTGAACCAGTCACAACTAACCCACAATACCATGACTGAACCAGTCACAACCCACAATACCATGACTGAACCAGTCACAACTAATATACAATACCATGATTGAACCAGTCACAACTAACCCACAATACCATGACTGAACCAGTCACAACTAACCCACAATACCATGACTGAACCAGTCACAACTAACCCACAATACCATGACTGAACCAGTCACAACTAACCCGCAATACCATGACTGAACCAGTTACAACTAATCCACAATACCATGACTGAACCAGTCACAACTAACCCACAATACCATGACTGAACCAGTCGCAACAAACATACAATACCATGACTGAACCAGTCACAACTAATCCACAATACCATGACTGAACCAGTCACAACTAACCCACAATACCATGACTGAACCAGTCGCAACAAACATACAATACCATGACTGAACCAGTCGCAACAAACATACAATACCATGACTGAACCAGTCACAACTAATCCACAATACCATGACTGAACCAGTCACAACTAACCCACAATACCATGACTGAACCAGTCACAACTAACCCACAATACCATGACTGAACCAGTCACAACTAACCCACAATACCATGAATGAACCAGTCACAACTAACCCACAATACCATGACTGAACCAGTCACAACTAATATACAATACCATGACTGAACCAGTCACAACTAACCCACAATACCATGACTGAACCAGTCACAACTAACATACAATACCATGACTGAACCAGTCACAACTAACCCACAATACCATGACTGAACCAGTCACAACTAACCCACAATACCATGACTGAACCAGTCACAACTATCCCACAACACCATGACTGAACCAGTCACAACTAACATACAATACCATGACTGAACCAGTCACAACTAACCCACAATACCATGACTGAACCAGTCACAACTAACTCACAATACCATAACTGAACCAGTCGCACCTGTCCCACAATACCATTACTGAACCAGTCACAACTATCCCACAACACCATGACTGAACCAGTCACAACTAATATACAATACCATGATTGAACCAGTCACAACTAACCCACAATACCATGACTGAACCAGTCACAACTAACCCACAATACCATGACTGAACCAGTCACAACTAAAACCCCCAATACCATGACTGAAAACCCGTCCCCAACTAATATACAATACCATGATGAACCAGTCTCAACTAACCCACAATACCATGAACTGAACCAGTCACAACTAACCCACAATACCATGACTGAACCAGTCACAACTAACCACAATACCATGACTGAACCAGTCACAACTAACCCACAATACCATGACTGAACCAGTCACAACTAACCCACAATACCATGACTGAACCAGTCACAACTAACCCACAATACCATGACTGAACCAGTCACAACTAACCCACAATACCATGACTGAACCAGTCACAACTAACCCACAATACCATGACTGAACCAGTCACAACTAATATACAATACCATGACTGAACCAGTCACAACTAATATACAATACCATGACTGAACCAGTCACAACTAACCCACAATACCATGACTGAACCAGTCACAACTAACCCACAATACCATGATTGAACCAGTCACAACTAACCCACAATACCATGACTGAACCAGTCACAACTAACCCACTATACCATGACTGAACCAGTCACAACTAACCCACAATACCATGACTGAACAGTCACAACTAACCCACAATACCATGACTGAACCAGTCACAACTAATATACAATACCATGATTGAACCAGTCACAACTAACCACAATACCATGACTGAACCAGTCACAACTAACCCACAATACCATGACTGAACCAGTCACAACTAACCCACAATACCATGACTGAACCAGTCACACAAACTACCCGCAATACCATGACTGAACCAGTTACAACTAATCCACAATACCATGACTGAACCAGTCACAACTAACCCACAATACCATGACTGAACCAGTCGCAACAAACATACAATACCATGACTGAACCAGTCACAACTAATCCACAATACCATGACTGAACCAGTCACAAAATAACCCACAATACCATGACTGAACCAGTCGCAACAAACATACAATACCATGACTGAACCAGTCGCAACAAACATACAATACCATGACTGAACCAGTCACAACTAATCCACAATACCATGACTGAACCAGTCACAACTAACCCACAATACCATGACTGAACCAGTCACAACTAACCCACAATACCATGACTGAACCAGTCACAACTAACCCACAATACCATGAATGAACCAGTTACAACTAACCCACATACCATGACTGAACCAGTCACAACTAATATACAATACCATGACTGAACCAGTCACAACTAACCCACAATACCATGACTGAACCAGTCCAACTAACATACAATACCATGACTGAACCAGTCACAACTAGCCCACAATACATGACTGAACCATCACAACTAACCCACAATACCATGACTGAACCAGTCACAACTATCCCACAACACATGACTGAACCATCACAACTAACATACAATACCATGACTGAACCAGTCACAACTAACCCACAATACCATGACTGAACCAGTCACAACTAACATACAATACCATGACTGAACCAGTTACAACTAACCCACAATACCATGACTGAACCAGTCACAACTAACCCACAATACCATGACTGAACCAGTCACAACTATCCCACAACACCATGACTGAACCAGTCACAACTAACATACAATACCATGACTGAACCAGTCACAACTAACATACAATACCATGACTGAACCAGTCACAACTATCCCACAATACCATGACTGAACCAGTCTCAACTAACCCACATTACCATGACTGAACCAGTTTCAACTAACATACAATACCATGACTGAACCAGTCACAAATAACATACAATACCATGACTGAACCAGTCACAAATAACATACAATACCATGACTGAACCAGTCACAACTAACCCACAATACCATTAGTGAACCAGACACAACTAACATACAGTGCCACGACTGAGGAACAGTGAGGGGGAGAGGGCCGGTAACTGAGGAAATTGTGGGGGAGATAGGGCCGATAACTGAGGAATAGTGGGGGAGATAGGGCCGTTAACTGAAGAACGACAGGGGAATTACCGATAACCGAGGAATGGTGGGGAGAGAGTGCCGATAACTGAGGAATGGTGAGGGACAATGCCGATAACTGAAGAATAGTGGGGAAGTTAGTGCCGATAACTGAGGAATGATGGGGAGAGAGGGCCGATAACTGACGAATGGTGGGGGAGAGAGGGCCAATAACTGAGGAATGGTAGGGGAGAAAGGGCCAATAACAGAGGAATGGTGGGGAAAGAGGGCCGATAACTGAGGAATGGTAGGGGAGACAGGGCCGATAACTGAGAAATGGCAGGGGAGAGAGGGCCAAAAACTGGGGTATGGTTGTGGAGAGAGGGCCGATAACTGTGGAATCGTGGGGAAGAGATTGCTGATAACTGAGGAATGGTGGGGAAGAGAGGGCCGATAACTGAGGAATGGTGGGGGAGAGGGCTAATAACTGAGGAATGGTGGGGAGAGAGAGCCGATAGCTGAGGAATGATGGGGAGAGAGAGCTAATAACTGAGGAATGGTGGGGAGAGGGAGCCAATAACTGAGGAATAGTAGGGACGAGAGGGCCGATAACTGAAGAACGGCCGGGAGTGAAAGCCGATAACTGAGGAATAGTGGCAGAGAGTACCAATAACTGAGGAATTGTGGGGGAGAGAGGGTCGGTAACTGAGGAATGGTGGGGAGATAGGGCTAATAACTGAGGAATGGTGGGGAGAGAGTCTGGATAACTGAGGAATGGTGGGGAGAGAGTCTGGATAACTGAGGAATGGCGGGGGAAAGGCTCTGATAACAGAGAAATGGTGGGGAGAAAGTGACAATAACTGAGGAATGGTGGGGGAGAAAGTTGCGAAAACTGAGGAATGGGGAGAGTGCTGATAAATGAGGAATGATGGGGAGAGTACCGATAACTGACGAATTGAGGGAGAGAGTGGCGATAAATGAGAAATGGACGGGGGAGAGAGGGGCGATAACTGAAGAATGGTAGTGAGAGATGCCTATAACTAAGAAATTGTGGGGGGGGAAAGAGTACCGATAATGGAGGAATGGTGAGGAAGAGTGCCGATAACTGAGGAAAGGTGGGGAAAGAGTGTTGATAACTG